AACACGAGGAGGGATTAATTTAAAACCTGAAATTAATTTCAGGTTTTAAAGGAATTAGGAGGGAAAAGTAATTCGAAATTGATTTCAAATTCAAGCGTCATCAATGCCTTAATGATGGCATTAATGGGGCTCCTCCAAAGAAGAGGCCGGCGGCATGCTAAGGGGAGAGAGGGGGAAATCCAAGGGAATAAGCTTCCAATTTAGGATGATGACGTGGCAATAGGTTTCATAACTCCAATCTAAATCAAATTGAAATTGAATTCCATCATGAAAACTTTCCGAAATTGGATTTCCAAATTAGGAAAGAATTTGAAATTTGAAATTCAAATTTCAAATTTGAAGCAAGCGGAAGGAGGGGTTGGACGGGTGGGGGAAATCGCCGGCAAGGTGGCCGGCCTGGACCGTGGAAGTGGCCGGCGGTGGGCTTCCAAGGGGCGGCGGCAACTAGAGTTGGGAAGAGATTTTCTTGTGGTGGAAGAGAAGGATGATGAAGGTGAATACGAAGGAGAAGATAGAAAACCTAACCACGAGCCGCGGACTCTTCCAAAGATTGGTGGGCCTTGCGATTTGCTCCCCTTGAGCTCTCTCCCTCCTCAAGCCCTCATGCAAGAAGAAGAAGTAGAAACACAAATTTTTTTTTCATTCAAATCTTCATTAACCCATTACATAAGAAATGACCATATATATAGGCCTAAAATGACAAAGGAAATAATAGACTAAAATGCCCATTGGGCTACAATAGAGACCAAATACCCATAAGGGTAAAAATGGAAAAACTAAAATAAAATAAATTACTACATAACATGACAAAATAAATAAAGCTCCTGATCGTGGCCGTCGATCTTCCGGTGTCTCCGATGGCACACATGTCGAAATTTGCTGATGATGTCCTCATCAATGTCTTTTATATCGTTTTGTTCAAAATTTTGTGTAGAATTTTATAAAATTATTTTTGTCAAATTCTGATGACTTTGAAAAATTCACCTAAATCTCGTCGCGGCGCATCGAAAAACATGTGATTTCTAAAATTGGCATTTTCGGGATTTACATAAGCTGCTGTTTTCTGTTAGATTATAAGAAATCCGTGAGTACAGCAAGTAAAAGCATTCAACTTATAATTTTTAAAGTGCAACAATAACATGGGTAACATTGCGTTGTTTTTCTTGATGTAATGTAAAACCCATGAAAAGTAATTTTTAGCAGACCATTAACAAGCTGATACATGTTCAGATAATTTTTTAAAAATTTATTATATTATGATTTTCTATGTGTTTGATATTCTACTAAGCTTAGTCAAATCATATGCATGGTTTCACATTAATCCTGTTTTTTCAATGTTGTAAAGCACAGTTTTGTTTAGAACCCCATTTGATCGTTTGTCGCTATGTTGCTTCAGGGTTTTGCTATACCTAAGGAATCTCAAAAGAAAGTTGTGGATTTTACTTTCAATGGAGAGCCAGCTAAGATTAAACATGGAGATGTTGTCATAGCGGCAATTACCAGTTGCACGAACACTTCAAATCCTAGTGTGATGCTTGGAGCTGCTCTGGTTGCAAAGAAAGCTTGTGAATTGGGTCTTGAGGTTGAATTTTGGATTTCTTACTTTAGTTTTATGTGATGCCTTGCTTAATTTGGCAGCAGATTTTCATTCTTTTGGTTGTTCAAATAGTCATGTGAAGAATAAGCTGGGTATGAGACGAGCTTGTATAATCTAAAACATTCTCTTATATCTGGAAAATCTTAAACTCACCAAATAACTCGTTATGTGTCTGAACTTCTATTCTGAAGATCATACATGGCATTTTTTAATAAACTAAACTATGTTTAAGTTAACCCATCCACAAAGTTAGATAGTTCATTCTACAAGTTCTCTCTTCTGTCTACCAAAATTTTCCCATGTGATTCCAGTCATCATAAATGAAATTTTTTTTTGAATGTGCAATATTAGTGGATAAGTCGGTGGCACTTGTTAACTGCAAGGTGATAGTGTCCCATCGGGCAGTGACATTATACTTTCTTCTCGCACAACAAAAACTAAAATTACAACTTTAGGCTCTTTTTCGGGACCACATCAACATTTGGGGCAATGCTAGTAGATAAAAACCAACATAACAGGCTTAGTGTGCTGAAAAAAGTAAAAAATTGCCATTATTTTCGTACTTTTTAGTTTTAGTCATAATTTGCACTACAGAATAGAACTCTCACCTTGCTTAAAATTATGAACCTGAATTTTGTTTTCAAGCAAGATTTCCCTCTGTCTAAATGAATATAACTCATGATCAATTTATGTGAATCTTTGGTGATCGTTATTGGGCATTTCACAGAACATTTTTGCTAATCATTTAAGACCAACTGACCTCATGAACTTCTAAAGTTTTTGTGGTCATTAAAATGGTAAACCTCTGGCAAATATTTGTAAAGTTTAGCCTGCTGATAACCAAATATAAGACCGTTAACCACTTCGCCCTATATTTTTTCCTGATGTGTTATGAACACATGCAAAGAGACAAATTGAGAACATATGAAGAAGATAGACCGCTGGTAGATCTTCTGCATTGATCAAGTAACTTGAGCTTCTTGTCAAGTAACCCTCTGAAGTACCTACAGTTAATTTGGCTGGATGAAGTGGATATATCTTTTGGATCGCATATGGTGCAAATGGAATGAGATTTCTTGAATTACGTTTTAGTTTGTTTTGGATGTTTTTTTTTTTTCCCCTTCCTATGCCCCTCCTTTTGTGACCCACCAACACCAATCAATCCCCTCTTGAGCTATGCTTTGTCTCCTCTTTTTTTTTCATTCTTTGATAAATTTGTTTGGCGGTATCTTTAATATGTTTTCTTATAGGTTTCTCATTGTTTATAGGTGAAACCATGGATAAAGACGAGCCTAGCTCCAGGCTCTGGAGTAGTCACAAAGTACTTGGAAAAAAGGTAAAGATTAACATTTGTGCTAAAAAGCTCATAATAACTATGCTTTAGAAGTACCTAATATTTTGCCACTGCCTATTCAGTGGTTTACAGAAATACCTAAATCAGCTAGGATTCCACATCGTTGGATATGGTTGTACAACCTGTATAGGAAATTCTGGAGACTTAGATGAATCAATAGCTTCTGCTATTTCTCAGAATGGTAGGTTTTCTTATTTGTTTGATCGATGATAAGATGCCATGTAGATTTCCCTTTCCAGGAAATATGTTCTAGTGCAGCTTTTATGATGGTTAATTTTTAGATATTGTTGCTGCTGCCGTGTTGTCTGGGAATAGAAATTTTGAGGGACGTGTACATCCTCTTACCAGGGCTAACTATCTCGCCTCTCCTCCCCTTGTGGTAGCATATGCTCTTGCCGGCACGGTATGCATTCATTTTATTCTTTTCTTATCTTAAAAGTACTTTCTGACTGTTGTGCTTTGAAATTTTCTTTCAGACATCTTTGTTCCATTAATCTTTATTTTAAAGAACTGCTACCTTTATTGGCAATGTCACAATTCACAACAACTATTCATTGGAAAATTTTCTACTTTATGCCCTTTTGCTGCATAATTATGAAGGCGTATTAAAAAAAATTGATAGTTACAATTGGTTTTTTGGAATTTTTTTTATTGTTAACTGAATATTGTTCTTGAATATTCTACTTAAGGGAAAATTATGTAAATAGTGGTGAGACCTGCAATGCTTTATGGTACAGAATGTTGGTCATTAAAATAGAAGCATAATATTAAGTTAAGTATTGCAAACATGAGGATGCTCAGGTGAATGAGTGGCTTTACTCTTAGAGATAGGATACGAAATGAGCATATACGTGAAAAGGTTGGAGTAGCTCCAACGGAAGATAAGATTAGAGAGTGTTAGTCTTAGATTTTTTGTTCACATAAAACAACTGCCTTCCGATGACATGGTTATGAAAGTAGATATATTAGATTTAGCTTATGTTAAGGTAAATGTAGACATAAAATATTAATTAATCTGAATAATTGTTTAATCATTTCAACTTAAAAGTTTAATTAAAATAAAGTTAAAACTTTAAATTAAATTTTAAGCTTTAAATGAACTAACTTAATTTAAACTATCAAACTTTAACTTAATTAAACTAATTAATTTAAAATTAAACCTTTCAATTAAACTTTAAACTAATTTTAAAATAAAATTAAATTCAATTATAAATTATGGTTTAAGTAATTGAAAATTTTATTAATTTAAAATCAAACTTTAATTCAATTAAACTAATTAATTTAAAAATAAAGATAAAAATCTTCTAATTAATGAATCAATAAATTGAATTTAAACCTTTAAATTAATTTAATTAATTAAGCAACCTATTTTAAATTAAATTCATAATTTAATTAATAATTAAGTAATTTTAAAATATACTTGAATCAACGAGCTGATGAGTTTATTTTAAATTAAAATTTAAACTTTAATTTCATTTAATTGAATGCTATTAATTTTAAATTTAATAAAATCCTTAAAGAAAATATAGAACAATAGTTACGCCATACAAACCTAAGTACAATGCACACCAACTAAGCACCAAACTCCTAAAACTAAGAAAATAGAAAACACGAAGAAAACTCCAAAACCCCAAGCAAACCTAACTAGCTCTTGGTAAGCTCCAACTCCAGCTCCTTGCAAGCTCCAGCACCTGGCAGACCTTGCAGCTACAAGCTCTAACTCCTGCAACTTTGATCCATGAATACCTGCAAAAAAGTAAACAAAAGTCAAAATAGAGTGGTTAACAAAACTATTATTGTAAGCAGAATACTAGTACAGTAGGTAAAAAAAGCAACGAAAACAAAAATGCTAAAAGTAAAAACTACTGTAAGTAAAACAACTACTGCTAGAAAGACTAGTGCTGAAACAAACAAGTAATCAAAGGTACTACTACGAGTCAGAAGATACTATTGCAAACAAGACACTATTATAGGTGTCAAGGTGGCGAAAAATACAAAACTAAGTATTTGCTACTAAAGTGCCCTGTTAAGCTAAACCCCTGCTAACCTAAGTTCAACTAACAACTTCTAATAGAGGTCTTAAGACCTGTTATATTGGTTACTTTTAATAGAAGCAGTAAGACCCACATGTTAGAGAAAATCTCTAGGTAAAAGTAACCTAATCCTAAATCTTAAACCTACGGGCTACTTCTAAGGGAAGCTATAAGATCTGCTATATGAGCTACTTTAAGTGAAAGCAGTAAGCCCCTCTTTTCAAATATAAACCTACGAGCTACTTACCAGGGAAGCCGTAAGACTCACTATCTGAGCTACTTCAAATTAAAGCCGTAAGCCCCTACCCACATTTAAACATATGGGCGACTTCTAAATGAAGTCTTAAGACCCAATTTTAATCTAAATATACGAGCAACTCCCAAGCGGAACCACGAGTCCCATCCTAAACCCAATCATCACAATTTCTATTCACTTTAGTTTACTCGGGATCTCTGAGAGGAAGCAACCCATGGCTGCTATTTAGATTTCCTGAACACTACAATCAATGATTGTTAGTGTTGGTAGACTGAAACCTATGATGTTCATGGGATGACGGGGGCATGGGATCTTGATCGAGTCTACCTTCATCCCCCACAACCAAAATTAAAATTGTTACACGCCTAAAATCAATTCATCCTTAATCGAGAGTTCTCTTCTACGCGCTAGGAGGGATAATTAACTATGAAGGTTTTGCCCTTATAAGAAGTAAAGACATGGATCTAAATAAACCCTAATATCACACATTAGGGGAAATATGGTTAATTACAATCTGCTTCAAGGCGAATGGAATCCACTGGCTAAAAAGTGGGATTCATTTGTTCCACAAGTACCATATTCCTTTTGAGAAAGAACATGAATCAATCTATAAGACTTTACATCTTCAATAATTTCTAAAGTTTGAAAATACTTGTCATGGTTGAAATCGTTTCACCTCAGTTATAACAATATTAAGAAGATATAAACAAATAAAAAATGCATTTGGGTTCATCGTGATCCGTGAGAAGTAGTTATGTTATTCTGAGTATGATATTGGAATGACAAGATAAGTGAAAGAAAAAAGTGCTTGATGATTTATCGTGGGATAATAATTATATTTTAACTTTTAGTGATTTTATTTATCAGATGCTTGGAGTGGTAGACTCAGATAAGTCATGCTTACGCTATTTATGAGATGCGAGATTCATTGTTAGTTAATGTGAAAGAAACAATATTTAAAAATGAAAGAAATTTAAATAATGAAGATTCAAATTTTTGGAGTGTTATTTTTAATATTTTGGAGGATACGTGGAGCAAAATAAATACACCTCTATATTGTTTTTCCAACTCTGTAAATCCAAAGTAAACTTCAATATATCTTTTATAATTAATTTTAATTTTGTTAAATAGTAATTATATGATTTTATTTTCTTTATATTCATGGAAGATATTCACATAAAGAATGGCTTTAAGAGGACTTTCAATGTGATTCTCCATTGGAAATTTAAAAATTTCAAATATGAGAAAAAACATGTTTAAAACATTGTTTTTCAAATGAGTGAAGAATGATGAATATAGAGCTTGCCGAATTCTTTGGGTATCTAGAGAATTTTAGAGATTAAGAATCTTTACATGATAGATGCAGGATGGATTCAAAATTGTGATGGTTGATTCATAGAGTTTCAATACCTCTACTTCAAATAATTTTGATAGAACTTGTTGGCCAAGTTTCCGAGAGTTGTAGCACATACTCATTCATTCACACCTCTTCCAAGCATCTTCACCTAATGGTTTCAATGAAAAAGGGATAAATTACTTTACAAAGGGTTGAAGATTTAGTTTATGTGCATATAAATTTTCATCTTCTTTCATGAAATATCTCAATTTATATGGAATGTGATAATAAGATATGGGATATTGTTGGAGATTGCCTTGACGCCTTTAATGATATAGAAATTTTAGAAAGAGCAATTTTTTCTCTTGGTGAGTTAGACTTGGAACTAATAATATTTAATGATGATAATATTAGAGGCCAAAGACAAATACATGATGAAAAATTAGTCCTATTTTTTTCTTTTAGTGAATAGCCGAATCTTGATGTTGTACTAGATAATTTATGCTCTTTATTTTTTATATTATACTGGACAATTTATACTTAATTTTTTTGGAAATCATAAGCTAGACAAATAATTATAATATCGACTTATCATTTGTTTGTTATTCTTAATATTATGCTTATTTAATTTTTGTGCACTATTTAAAAATTATAATGTCGTGTCCAAGCCTTATCCCTGTCCTGTATTTTCAATAATTAATGTGTTCTATATTCATGTCGTGTCGTGTCATGTTCGTGCTTCCAAGGGTTCTACTATACGATTGAATAATGATAGAAGCATGTCATTTATTCTGATGATAATGCTATTTGTTCCTTTTGAGAGCTTTGCCTTGTTTAAGGGTCATTTCTCAATCTGATTCACTAAAAATATTAGTCTTTCTCACCTGTTTAAAGCCTTCTGCCATATTGTTACTATATTTATTTTCACAGTGATTCCTGATTGCGTAGCTATTCTCCCTGTTAAATTCTTTAGGATGTAGTGTACAAGATATGTATGAATGGAGAAATTGTGGGATCAAGTTTGAAAATTAAGGGATAGTTAGTGTCTTTTAATCCTCTATGTAGTTTCTTCTCATACGTTCCATCTTTTTCATCGCAGGTTGACATTGATTTTGACAAAGAGGCCATTGGGACTTCAAAAGACGGGAAAAAGGTGTACTTCAATGACATCTGGCCATCCAATGAAGAAATTGCAAATGTAATTTTTTATTATTTAGCTTATTTTGATTTTATAGCAAATTTCTCATTAGACATCTCTTTGATGATTTAAATTTTTTTTTCTATCTCATAATTATGTAGGTTGTGCAATCAAGTGTTCTTCCAGACATGTTTAAATCGACATACAAAGCAATCACATCGGGAAATCCCATGTGGAATCAACTACAGGTGTCGCCCAGCACTCTCTACCCATGGGATCCCTTATCGACGTACATTCATGAGCCTCCATACTTCAAGGACATGACAATGTCCCCCCCTGGCCCCCATCCTGTGAAGGATGCCTACTGTCTCCTAAGCTTCGGTGATAGCATCACAACCGACCATATTTCCCCTGCTGGAAGTATTCATAAGGACAGCCCTGCTGCCAAGTACTTGATGGAGCGTGGCGTAGAAAGGAAAGATTTCAACTCCTACGGCAGTCGCCGTGGAAACGATGAGGTGATGGTGCGGGGAACATTTGCCAACATTCGCCTCGTCAATAAGCTCTTGAAAGGTGAAGTTGGGCCTAAAACAATTCACATTCCCTCGGGAGAGAAATGCTCTGTTTTTGATGCTGCAATGGTAATCTTCATAACCTTTCAAACTAAGGCTTCGTTTGGAACTGCTTTTTTTCTTCTTCTTAAAATTTTTGTACTAAAAAGCTGTTTTAAGAATCAATAGGAAAACCGTCCCAAACAAAACCTAAATGATAGAGCTCCCTTTCCATTTTAAGAACTATGAGACATGACCTATAACTTGACTGTTGGTTCTAGTATTCATGTTTTGAGAAGCTAATTCTCTTTATTTTTTATTTAACTTTATTGAGCAGCAATATAGAAGCGCTGGTCATGATACAATCATCTTGGCTGGCGCAGAATATGGGAGCGGGAGTTCGCGTGATTGGGCTGCAAAGGGACCGATGCTTCTGGTATAGTTGTTTTCTTTTCAATGTACTTTTCTATGTTGCGTACAAATCTAGGAATCATCATTTAGCAAAATGAGTTTTTTTTTTTTTTTTTTTTTTTTTTTTTTTTTGTAACTTCATGCAGTTTAACTAATAAACGGGCCACAGCTAATTAATCAATTTGGGAAGATTATAATTTGAAAAATTAAATTTGGGCAGCATGTTCCGACTAAATTTTTTATCATGATGGAGTTGAAATTTATTGGATTTACTCTAACATTAGTGTAATGCATATTTTGATTATTTACTTATGTATTGTACTAATCTCAAAACAAATTCAACAACTTCGAGATTCATTTGGATTATTCTTTTTATCAATATACCATGATATAAAAGCTTTCCCTTATAATTTCATGACGCCGGACCGGAGGGGGCTTGACGAATCTACGTTGATGATCCGGTGGCCGTGTTCGGGCACAGATCCAAGAACTTCTTGGAACAAATCACCACCCGAATATAATTCATGATACATAAAATTAAACTAAAGTCAAATCAAATCTATTCAATTCTCCTCCATTACAAGCACTACCCCTTATTTATAGTATTTGAAAGGCTACATAAAAGGTAATAAGCCTAAAGAAAACATAAGGTCAAACTATCTAAATATGTGGCCAATACATAGACTGAAGTTTATGACAAAATAACTCCGGCATCATTAATATTTTATTAGTAACTCTTCTTTAACCTTACTAACCTTGAATCAAACCCCCTTGTTGTTACATCTCTCCATTCTATCGTCCTCTCAGCGGTACTTCATGGCTTATTTGCAGGGTGTCAAAGCTGTAATTGCCAAGAGCTTTGAGAGAATCCACCGCAGCAATCTTGTAGGAATGGGTATTGTTCCCCTATGTTTCAAGTCTGGCGAAGATGCAGAGACCCTTGGGTTAACCGGCCATGAACGCTTCACTATTCACCTCCCAGCCACTGCTAGTGAAATCAAACCTGGTCAGGATGTCACTGTTACAACGGATAATGGAAAAACCTTCACCTGCACTGTTCGCTTTGACACAGAGGTGAGAGAATGCAATCAAAACAATACTCATCTAGGAAGAGCTCAATATAGTCATCAGACTATTTGTATGTCATTAATTTATGCTACATTTGGGACGGCTTTTTATTACTTTAAAACAATTTTTTTAGTACAAAAATTTTTTGAACCAGAAAATTTTATACTATAAAGCTAATTTTGAAAGCATTAAAAAAACCGTCTCAAACAAATATAACACTTCCCTACTTTAGTCCAACTATTCAAAATTAGATCTCAAATAATCCCTCATATAGAAATTAACAGAAATTGAGATGCAAAATTGATCTCAATTAAATCCCTTAAAGAACTATTTGGGATCAGTTTTATATAGTAGATGGAATAAATTGAAGAAATTTAATATAGTGGGACTAAATAGGCACATACAAATAATCCGAAGAATGCTTTGTATTTCTTCCAAAAAAATCATGTGTGGTTCCTTCTCTGATCCCCATAGTTAAGCGTTTTTCTACTCTTCAAATATTTCGGTTCGATAATCCGTATATGTTCATGCTGTAACAGGTCGAATTAACGTACTATAACCATGGTGGAATCTTGCCATTTGTCATCAGAAATCTGATTGGTGCTAATTAGCAGTTTTGATGGAAAGAGCTAATTGTTATGCCTGATCAAAGCCACCCTGTTCAATTATTTCTCTTGGGTGTTCTTGAGTTATGCACCCAGGAAAATAAGAAGATACATAGTAGAGGAGATGCTAGGCTGAGTTAGTTTGCCGCGATCTATTTAATTTAGGCTTTGTTTGGGACGACTTGCTTTCTACTTCTTAAAGCAGCTTTTTAGCAAAAAAATTAAAAATTTTGTACTATAAAGCTGCTTTAAAAAGCAGTAAAAAAGACGTCCCAAACGAAACCTTAGAGAAAACAAATGACTTTAGGGCATTCTGGAAACTACAAATTTTGAAAAAGGCATATCATAGCACAGCATATCTGGTTGCAAATTTGGGCATTTTGTTGCTTCATACATAGAATGAAGTATTTTCTGGAAAATGAGAATTTTAGTTTATTTTTACATATTTGTGTGCTTGAAATTATTCTATTTGAATAAATTATAGGGTTTGAAGTAAGTTTATATTGATTAAGGCTTCGTTTGGGACCGCTTTTTAAAATAGTTTTTCAGTACCATAGTTAAAATTATTGTACTCGAAAGCTGCTTTAAGAGGTAGTAAGAAAGCTGCTTTAAGAGGTAGTAAAAAAGCTGTCTCAAATGAAGCATAAATCAAACGATGGAATCTAATAAATTTTATTGTTTGTATAACATTTCTTGTGCTGTAGTGATTGCCCACATACCAGATCTTCTGATCTTCATTACAACAATTACAAATGTGCAATGAATGATCTGCTAATCCAGAACATTGGAAAGTGCCACGATGGGGTATGTACAAAAAATTTATGTATGTATGAATCTTTATATTCTCTATATAACAGTTAAATTTTTAAATCACATGAAAAAATATTAGTTTTATCATTCTCATTTTGTTCAGCTATTCTCTTAAAGAATCTCTTTAGATCTAATTTATATAAAAATAGAGTTGAAAAATAGTCAAGAACACAAGAAATAAATAAAAAGAAAAGCTACATCTTGTTGATATAAAATTAAATTAAAAATATATGACTAATAAAACAAGAATATTATAAAATAATTGATGATAACAATATTCATCTTTTTGGTAATACACAAGACTAATTTATTGATAACAATTACATACTCTTTTTAGGGATGAAATTTATAATTTTCAAAATAATACAATTTTTTTTTTTTTAGAACTGGGGTCTCCAAAGGGAGCGTTCAGCGGTGTAACTAATATCTCGGTAGAATCTGGTGAGGCCATTCAGTGGCATCAAGCCCACACTTGTTTTGCCCCATTGAAGAAGTGAGGTCGTAGTAAAGAAGATTTGAATCCGTAATGGGATATGTTATAAAAATTAATTATATAGCTTTTTAAATACTACAAATTTATATATTATGTGGATATATTATTCTTATTATAAATTATATTTATAATTGTACTTTTATATTATATTTTTAAAAATTTTGTAAATATATTTCATATAATATTTTTATATTTATACTATACATATATTCATATTCAATTATTCATAATAATAATAATAAATCAAACATCTTACATTGCTTTATATCTCTTTAACAGAGCTTATTCAAGAATCTTAATTGAGATAATTATATATTCAATTCTACCGCGCGTTTTTTTTGTCTCAGGCCATCAGTCATACCAGGCATCTTCTACCTTCCCACGTGGCTCCATCTCAACCAACCTCCGTTGATAAATAAACTGGAAAATAACAGCATAAACAAAATCAAATTCTCATCTTCTTAGATATCATCCCCTTCACTTACCTCTTCTCTCATGTGCAAATATGACAGCAAGAGCAATTTTACACAGCATTTACAGCAGCTCCACCACAAATCAAACCTCTGCATCCGACCAAACAAGAAATCTCATAAAAAAAGAATCTGTTTCTGCTTCTTCAGATTCAAAGCTGAGGCAAAAACCCAACCTTAAGGCCTCCTCTGTTGCCCGGACACTCAACTCCTACGTGGAAATTGGGCAGATGGTAAAAGCTCTTACCTTGTTCCAAACTCTTAAGAATCCTAAAAACTTCCACTGGAATGTGATGATCAGAGGATACACAAACAATGGGCAATATGAAGAAGCCATCAATTTCTACTACCAAATGCAAAATGCAGGCAATCTTGCAGACAACTTTACCTTCCCTTCTGTCATCAAATCCTGCACCAAGTCGCTATCTTTGAGCCAAGGGTTGACGATTCATGGACAGATAGTTAAGCTTGGACTCCCCTCAGATATTTATATCTGCAACTCTCTCATTGCAATGTATTCAAAGCTGGGATTGCTGGAATCCGCGGAAAGATTGTTTATTGAGATGCCTATAAGAGAGACAGTTTCATGGAATGCAATGATGGAGGGTTATGTATCTAATGGTGAAGGACTGAAATCATTGTCTTTGTTTAGAAAATTGCAAGAGGATTTTGGGGTGAAATCTGATGAGCTTGGAGTGCTGAGCGCCCTTGAAGCTTGTTGCTTGGAAAGTTTACCAAAGAAGGGGAAGGAGATTCATTGTCACATAATCCGGCAATGCTTTGAACTGGAAATCAAAGTTTTGACTACTCTTTTAGATATGTACTGCAATTGTGGAGAAATTGTTTATGCTGAGAGATTGTTCAGCTTGATGCCTAAGGAAAATGTTGTGGCTTGGAATGTTATGATAAATGGATATGTTCTCAGCAACCAACATGAGATGGCTTTTGCTTCATTCATGAAGATGCAAGAGAGTGATATAGAACAGAATGCCATAACTATGGTGAATTTGCTCCCATCTTTGACCCAACTGAGAACTTTATCTCATGGGAAATCAGTTCATGGCGCTGCTATAAGGAGAGGATTGCTTCCTCATTTGTTTCTTGAGACTGCATTGAATGTTATGTATGCAAAAAATGGGGAGCTGAGATCTGCCAAGTTGTTGTTTGATGAAATGCCTGAAAAAAGCCTGGTGGCATGGAATGTCATGATATCTGCTTATGTGCAGAATGAAAAAAATTTGGAAGCCATTGATATATTCCTAAGATTACTGATGGAACAGCCATTGTTGAAGCCTGATGCATTTACCATCTCAAGCATTGTACCGGCATACTCTGAACTGACTTCGCTGCCACACGGGAAGCAGATTCATGGCTATGTTTTCAAATTGGGTTATGAATCCAACACTTTGATACAGAATTCCATCATATATATGTATGCAAGATGTGGGGATCTAAGGGACTCAAGAAAAGTGTTTGATAAGATGCTATGTAGAGATGTTGTGACATGGAACACAATTATTCTTGCTTATGCATTTCATGGGCTTGGCAATAACGCATTAGATATGTTTTCAGACATGAAAAAACTTGGTTTTGAACCAAATGAGAGCACATTTTTATCTGTGTTGTCAGCTTGCAGTGTGTGTGGCTTCATAGATAAAGGTTGGATGTATTTTGATATCATGCAGAAGGAACATAAAGTTAATCCTCAGATCGAGCACTACGGATGCTTGGTTGATCTTCTTGGCCGGTCTGGAGATCTGGAGAAGGCTCTGCAATTGATAGAGACAATGCCTGTGGTTCCAACTTCCAGAATTTGGGGTTCTTTGTTAACTGCAAGCAGATATAACAATAACATCCAAGTAGCAGAAGTTGCAGCAAAAAGAATTTTCGACATAGACCATGATAACACTGGATGTTATGTCATACTCTATGGTTTGTATGCTGGTGCTGGCAGGTGGGAGGATGCAGAGAGAGTGAGATCTCTCATGAAGGAAAATGGTCTGCAGAGGACAAGAGGAATGAGCTTTGTCGAGCTAAACTGTAAGACAAGCAGTTTTGCTGCAGGAGATAGGTCACATAATGAAATTGATACAATTCAGCTAGTATTAGATATACTGTCCATGCAGATAGGTGAAAATGCTACTACTTTGGTTACCAGATTTAACCCACAGGATATTGTGACAATGAAAGCAAATCTTCCATGTAGGCATAGTGTGAGGTTAGCAGTCAGTTTTGGCTTAATTTCGTCGGCTTTGGGAACACCTGTTCTTGTTAAGAAGAATATCAGAATTTGCAATGATTGTCATAGTGCAATAAAAAAGATATCCAGTTTTACAGGAAGAGAGATAGTTGTTGGTGATTCAAGCATCTATCACCATTTCAACAATGGCTTGTGTTGTTGTGGTGACTATTGGTAAATTATCCTTTCAAGGGAGATTAGAGACATGTAGTCATTTTGCTGACAACTCATTAGGAATGGAAGAAGAAATTTACAGAACTTACAGAAGAGAATCTGATCCATACAAAGCATTCCATCATAAAAGGAGTTAATATTCGGTATGAAGATACTTCTTGAATATAAGAATCTATCCTGTTGAACTAATGCAGCTATTTCTAGCATGGATGCTGAGGAAAAGCAGATTGGAGGAACATAAACGATAGTAAAACTTGTATTACTCTGATGGTGATAAATATCAGAAAATTGACCCAAAACATAGCAAAAGGATTGACATTTCTATATTTCAAAATCGAAAAGAATAATGTAAGTCAATTAAAACAGGGTAATCAAGGAGCACTCGAGCATGGATGCACAGTATCATGATAAGAATTTGTTAAGGGATCTGATTTCTATCCATGACAGTAGCAGATATTTGGATGAAACAAAATGTTTTCAAGCAAGTAGTCAAGTACCTTTCATTTATTAACTATACAAAGATGATGAATGCGAAGCGTGATAGAAATTATTATCTGCAACATGGCATATAAAATGCCAATGGGATATAACTTTTCTACAGGTCTCTTCTACTTTACGCTTCCCAGTAGATGTGACCCATCTTTGCTTATAAAATTAGATTGTCTGTCATGTCATGTGAATGCAGAATGCTTGTTTTTTTTTGAAATTTGAGTGAATTTATCGCAAACTCACACAAATGTAAATGTAAAATTCTGAGCCTGAGATCACTTGGGAGCGTAGGTGGGCTGCATTGCAGAATACATATTCGATATGAATGCAGGATTAATGAGCTTAAAAAGTCCAGTAGATCATCAAACCCTACAATTGATAGGGACATCGGAACTTGGAAAGTCTATCAGAGACGTGGCCGTTGATCTACGGCCACGATCGAGTTGATGTATTTTTGAGTCGTATTATTTATTTGTTTTTTATTATGTTATGTTTGTATTTGCTTTTGTTATTTTCCGCTTTTACCTCTTAAGGAAGGTCATGTGTAAGCCCAAAGGGCATTGTCATCTTTTATTTTTTAGTCATTTGTATGAGGCTATATATAGCCCTATGTTCTTTTTTCATGCTTAATGAATGAATGAATTAAAAAAAAATATATAGTGTTTGAGTTCCTTGTGAGAGCTTGAGAGTGCTTGGGAGAGAAAACCCTTCGAGAGGGAATCGCATCACCCACCAGCCTTGGAAGAGTTCGGGCTTGTGGTTAGTTCTCTTATTTCGTCTTCCCTTCTTCCCTCCACCCTACACCACCGGCCCACCACCCCAAGCCGCAGGCCACCCTAGCCTCACCCTCACCGTCGGCTAAACCCCCCATCCCCACCACCACCCACGGTCAAAATGCTAGCCGTCGGCCCTCCCCTTGGCCTTCCCTCCATCATTGCTTTGGATTTGAATATTTTAGGCAACTCAACTACTTTATAAATTCAAATTTATTTGAATTTGAAAAGTTACCTAAAATACCAATCATATTTTAGGAAAGTTTCCAATCCCTTCCTATTTAATTTTAATTTAAATTGGGATGAAATATCTTTTCCCAAATTTAATACCCTAACTCAAGGAAGCATTGAAAGCTTCCTTAAACCCCTCCCTAGCCCCCTCTATACTGTCGGCCCCCATTTAATCCCTCCTTGGATTTATTTCCTTAAGCTCATCTCCTCTCTTGGAAATAATTCAAGCCCTCATACCCCTCTCTTGGCCAAAATTTCCAAGAGCCCCCACCTCCTTACTACTTTCCAAAATATCATCTTTAGTTTTGGAAATAAATCCCAAGCTTCCCCTCTTTTGCCCGTCACCCCTCTCTCTCTTTCTCTTCTTTAATTACTCTCAATCAAAGGGATTAATTAAGAAGTTTTTTTAATTAATTTTCCTCCACAAAATCTAAACCACATTTAAGCCCTACCCTCCTTCATTGGCAGGCCACCCTTGCCCACTTCTCCACTTCAACGCTTGAGAGAAACTTCTTTCTCTTTAGAGAAGTCTTCAAGGAAAGCCACCACGATCATCTTCCATGCATCAACTCTTCGACATCACTGAATGGCCGATCCGGAGCTTGACTACGGATTCACTTACGACGAGCAAGGGAACGTCAACATCCTCGACTCCACCTTCTTCAACTTCAGCCTCCATTGAAGAGTATGTGTACCACATCATCTTCATGCTTTCGGAGACCATCAACGAGCAACTTGCCAATGTCCAGTGGAAAATTATTGCGGGACAAAACAAGGGTGAAACACTTCCCTAGTCATTTATTTTTTTAATCCGCTAACCTTGTAAGTGGTGATTTAATCGCAAAGTTCTCGTGCTTCGCCCTCTACCTCCACTTAGTAAACATAGGGTTTAAGCGTACTTTCAATGTTGCTTATCTCAATGTTAGATTAGGGATTTTGTTGAATAACTACTTAATTTGCATGTTGTTGAAATTCTATATTGTTTTTATACTTCAAGTGCTTAGCATGTGATTTGGCCTAAGCCATTTTACATTTTTCTATTTTCGTTTAATAGCTAATAGTCTTAATGGTTCTTTGTTCCTTTCAAAATCGTGCAAGTTCTTATTGCATTCATTTAAAAGCATTATAGTCTTGCATCAACAATTTAATTCAAAGTGCGGCAAATGAGCAATATGCATGCCAACAGTCAAATCATAGAAGTTACATTCATATGATCATTGAATTAATGCATAAATAATAAAATTCATATGCAGTACTAGTAGAATTTATAAACAATAAAATATTATATTATGGAAGTCTATAAAGCAATAAACCAGTATGAGCGTCAAATCTATGAAACAATCGTCGTATTCGTAAAATCAATCAGTAAAGAAATCAGATAAAATATCAAATCAAACTTTTAGTAAAGACTATTAAAATCAAATCAATATAGTAAAATCATATATGAATATATATATATATATATATATA